AGGTCCGTTTGGATTTTTATACGCCGGGGCCGATCACGAGCATACAGTGGCCGGCAATGCGGGCTTTTATGACCAGCTACTGGCCCTGCAATGGGTATAATAAATTATTAATAATATATAATAATTTAATTTGCAATAATATTAATGACCATGATTAATTTAAAGGTGAGGGACAATATACATTTGTTTGGTGGCGATAAAGACATGGTGACCATATTTGGTCAAAGCGCCGGCAGTTGGTCGGTATCGGCACATGTATTGTCCCCGTTATCTAAAGGCCTATTCAAGAGGGCTATTATGTCGAGTGGAGCCCATATGTACAGTAAGCGCAGGGATATTGTGAATAAAACAGATGCTGTAAATATGGCTAAACAATTGGCACGTGATCTAAATTGCGATGACCATGGTGATTGGGTAGATTGTTTGCGAATGGTTGACGCACACGATCTGGTCAAGTCTATGACGCCGTTGACATTCCCGGTGTTAGGCACCGGGATTTTGCCCCTTTCGGCCGCTGAAGCTTTCGAGCAAAATGTGTTTAATTCAGGTTGGCAAAAAACTTATAAATAAATATATCAATATTAAAATTTATTATAATAATGTTATTAGTATTGCCAATATTAATCTTTATTGTTTTAAATTATTGTTAATTTTACAATTAAATAGTGTATTTACAGTTTAAATATTGTGAAAATTATCAATATATATTTTAAAACAGTAATTAATACTATAAATTGCAGAAATATTTTGTGGTTAAAAACTAGATTATTAAAACTGGATTCAACTATTATGGTGAATTAACATTTTTAATTAATTTAATTAAAAATAGACATAGATCTGTTGGCTGGTGTGAGCCGAGACGAGGGTCCATTGTTGGCCAAAGTTTCTTACCCAGATGTGTTTGGTGCGAATATTACAATGGATAAATTTATGGAAACCTTGAGCAAATTAAATAAAGTATTTCATGACATACCTGAACAAAATGTTGGCAATTATTATGCAAATAATGTAAATAATCACGGTCAATTAAGCGTAGCATTTGGGAAGCTATATGGTGATTTATTTATGAATTGCCCTACATATGTGTTTGCCAAACAATTTGCCAAGAATAGTCAACATGATTCAACATATTTTTATATGTTAACATTTAAAAGCAAAATGTTTGCCATGTTTAATGAAGATGATAGCGACGAATCAATTCACCATGGTGATGAATTGGCATTTGTTTTCGGTCACCCGCTTATGGATCAACAAAACTATACGGAAACTGATTATGATTTCAGTATACATGTGATGGAAATGTGGACTAATTTTGCCAAAAATGGGTTAGAATTTGAATAATAATTAGGGAGAGA